TTGGTGAGTCAAGAATGAGCTGTTAAATTATAAATGCTCTCTTACTGTATGTTTCCTTTATAAAGTTGCGTAAGAATTCCAAGTTACAAAGACAGTGAAGACCAAGGAATGACATGTAAAATTTTAATTGGGTGGGAAAGTGTTTCCTATTTTAGAATGGGCATAACCTAATGCTGAACTAGTGAACTCTTAAGAAAAACAATGAATTATTTTTCAACGCTTTGTGTCCAAAGACTATTAATCATATGGCTGTCAAATGGCTGGTGCTATCCTGCCAATAACATAGCTAAAATAATAATTGGTTTGATAAACTTATTTTGGTTATAAAATTGGTCACTGGTTAATTAAATATAGGTAGTTCTAAAACTACTGATTGATATAATAAGCACCTTTTTCTGTATAAAATAAAAGGCTGTGTTTTCACTGGAAAATAGAGTAGTATAAGACATATTGCCAACTTTAAGGATGGAAAATTTATTTAGAGAGACAAAGCATATATCTTTGAAAGCCAAATAATATTATATTCATGTCTGTAAGAAAGTAGTGCAACACAAACTAAGATACACATAAATGAGAATAGAAACTCCTGAAATAACAGGTCAATCCCACTCCCATAATTTTTCCTATACCCCGAGGACTGCCTGAAAATTTCACTCAGAAAACATAATGCAAGATAATAAGACTGATACTGTAAGAATAATCCACATTCACCACAAGTTATAAACAAAACATCACTATTTTATTCATAGTAATTATGAGCTATTAGTTCTTTTCAATGTTATAATAGTTAATAAAGCTGTAGACTGCCCAATAAGGTGGTCACAAACCACATGTGGCCACTGAGTTTTAGAAATTTGGCTACTCCAAGTTAAGATGTATAAATAAGTGTAAAATATGTGTGGGTTTTGAAGACAATATAAAAAAGTGTGAAATATTTATATTCTTATATTGATTATGAGTTTATATGATAATTTGGACAGCTCAGTGAAATAAAATTAAAATTAATTTTATCCCTTTTTTATTTTTTACTATGGCAACTAGAATATTTAAAATTACATGTATGTGGCTTGTATTATATTTCTGTTGACCTGCACTACTATAAAAGTTCTACTTGAATTTAGAGACAAGAACTTACTGTAAGGTTATAAAATTTTAAGAAAGTATCTGTGTGAAAAGGATTTTGTTCCTAAAATGTGACTGAATGCATCATTATCTAGTCTCTGCTTACAAACATTTAGCATTACTTTAAAATCAGTGTGTTTTTAAAAAATTGCAATCCTAATCAGATGTTCTTATATAAGCCTAAAATTTAGGCTCCAAATAATTTTTGCCCACTGATTATAGTTAATCACTTTGAAACCACACAAAATAAAACTACTCAAATTCTTAATCTTCATAATTTTTTTAACAAAATGCACGGTAGTCTTTTATTGGAAAATCTAGATCCTACACATTGAACTAAAGAAGTCTAAGTTTCCATTATCTTGCCCGAATAATTTTTTTTTAAATTTATTTATTATTATTAAACTTCAAGTTGTAGGGTACATGTGCACAACGTGCAGGTTTGCTACACATGTATACTTGTGCCATGTTGGTGTGCTGCACCCATCAACTCGTCATTTACATCAGGTATAACTCCCAATGCAATCTTTTGGTAGTCTCTCCCAAAGCTCTTTTTACATCTTTCCCCTTTTTTATGTTTACCTGGTGGTATCATGTTCCTTAATATTTGGGCAGCAGTTAACATACATACTCATATGATGCTAACCAGTCAGGTCTTTTGAAATTTCTACATGGAAATTGTGTTATTTAAAATTCCATGTCACTAAAAAAGCTCCTTGAAATGTCTATTTTGGCTCTCAATTATTAGTCTTTTGTTCACTTATTTTTTCAGGAAACATTTACTTGTGAATATTTACTATGTACCAGGAATGGCTCTAGGTTGAACATGAGAAACGCAACTCCATAGGATGTCTAGGCAACACACCCCACTCACTGTACCTGTTGTATGCCTTTTCTGTCTCCAAATAATTCCTGATTAAAAAAAAAAAAAAAACTGCACACTGTAAACTAAATGCAAGGCCATGATACCACTTTCTATATCGCTGCAGATAAATTAATTAGTAGTTTTGTTCTTCAGAATTATGTAACTCCACCAAACTGGAATCTAAAATCCTCCATATTCACCATTACAATGTTATGATTTCGTCAAATCCCTTGGTAAAATAAAGACTCATTATATCAATAAGCATTTATTTTATCCTTTAAAACTATAGATTTCAAGGGAGTAAGGGTTTGAACTGAGCCAATGGATGATTAGGATTTTGAGAGGAAACAAATAAGACCCAAGATTTATAGAGCATGTATTTATATTGGATGAATGCATAGAATTTTGAGAGAAAATAATAGTCAACATTTATTAAGTTTTTATTACATACCAGACACCATTCTAACATATTTGATCTTAGTAACAGCCCTATGAGGTGGATATTCGTCTTATCTCCATGTTATAAAGAAACTGAGGTTCAATGAGGATAAATAACTTGTCTAAATTCCCTCAGCTAGCAAATAGTAGAGCTCAGATTCAATCCATGCATTCTCATACAGAAGTTTATGTTCTTCACCAGAAGATGAAAAGTATTCTAAGGGCATTGAAGGAGGCATAACAGAAGGTCACCAAATGACCCGCAAAAAAAGGTCTATATTAGGAACACTTAAATAAGGCTGGAAAGTCTTTGGGGCAAGATTAGGGGAAGCCTTGACTGCTGTGCTGGAGTTTGGACTTTATTTATACTCAGTAGATGCAGAAGGTTCTTCAGCAAATAAATAGCATAATGAAAGAAAGGTTTTTGAAACATAGTAAGCTGATCATTGGGCACAGGCTGTAACTGGTTTGACTGAAAGGAGATTTTACATCTGTTCAAAGCTTAATGCTTTAGTTTTGTGTGAGGACCAGGAACAACGATGGAGCCTCTGGGAATACAAAGCAAGTGGATCATAGCAAGTCAATTGACTCTTGATATTTGTTAGACATTAGAGTGAGATATTAAAAAATAACATGACTTATGTTTTACATCTGAATGACTGAGAGAAATGGTCTTCTATTAACAGAACTAGGGAATTTAGTATTGTAAGTAATTTGGGGAAAAGATAATGAACTCCATACTACAAATGTCAAACTTCAAGTGAAAATTCAGCTGGCTATTGGAGAGTCTAGATGGGAATTCAAAAGTGAGATAACAGCTTAGGGTGAAGATTTGGAACATATAAAATATTGTTAAATTCATAGAAAATTGTATCTTAAATTCATAGAAGTTAAATTCATGGAGAGAGAAGCTAGAGAAGAAGCAGTGGAATAAAACAGGTAAATCTGAATGCAAATAGACCTATGTTCTTCTGACATCCAAGTACACAATAGACGTTATTTTAAGCATGATTTATCATTATATATTCACAAAATCACATAGAACAGTTGATTTCATTAAATATTAGCAAATGTGAACAACCATTTAATAACAAAATATTACCAAATTGATAATTATTCAGTTATAATCCTAAAGGATGTAAATCTTTTTACTTTTATCATGTAAACAATGTATGATTTTAAAGTACAATAATTGCTAATAATACAGAAATTGAAACTTTAAGCATGTTTATAGCACTACCAATCTATACTGGTTCAAATAACTCATATTTCAAATGGCAAATGATCATTAGGTTTTAAAAACTGTTACCATAATAGGTCACTTAAAATTATAAATCCTTTCATGGGTGTGTAGAAGTACCTAGAAGATATGTGGTTATGCATGATGCATATGAGAATCATGTCATCATGAATAGCATTTGATTATTCACTTCTTCAGTAGTGACAGATTATTACCTTTAGATATTTAGTTTTTTCTTTTACTCTTATCCGTATTGTTCACAAGAAATTGCCATCTAATAAAAATTCAACCTCTGCCTGGGAATGTGACTGGGGAAGGGTAGGTGGGGACCAAACTTGGTGAATGTAATCGTCCTGGCATAAGACACAGGGGTCATTACTGAATTGGTTTTACAAAAGTAAAAAGTTTTAGCTCTGAAAGCAAATCAGAACTCTGTATGTCAACTGTGAGTTTTCAAAAGCTATCACATATAAAATATTTTCTAGTGTTTTAATGGAAAGAAATACAGCATAAAGGTTGAGAGAGCATCAATGTATTTTATTAACAGAATTTAATAACTAAATCTTGCCCACTTTTTTGAATATATATTTGATGTTCCATGTCTTTTCACTTATCACTCCTTTTCAAGGGTTTTGTTTAGAAAGTCAAAGGATTCTAAAGTTTTTTGAGATCATGGTCATTATCAATTCAAAAGTAAAGAAACTTTGATGTTTCCAAGGTTGAAAAGTATAGATTCTTTATGTAAAATATATTAGGTTCATTTGTTTGAATTTATTTGCATCACCGACAAAACTGTTCCTAAGGCAAGTTAATGGCATTGTTTGTCTTAGAAGAGCATGCTTGTCAATTGTGCTGTGCTAAAAATGTCATTTAAAACATCTGAGCAGATTGCCTTGTAGTTTTTCTAGGGATTAAGATGACAGTTCTTCATTTCTATCTGAGGTTACTGTTATTTGATGAATGAGGCAATTTCTGATGAGGCATATTTAACCAAATGTATTTATATCATAATATTTAAAATAAGATCAAATTTGACTTTAGAATATTAAGAATTAGCCCATTCAAATGTATCTGTAAATTGACTGTTGTCGATATCACCAAATGATGAATTGTACTATCTTGCATGTATGTTCAGCTCTGGTGATGTTAAATGTTTCCCCTTATTTGCATCCTCAGGTACTTTTCCAGTTGTATTTCAAAACCCTTCATAAAACATAATATGGAAACATAATGCATGTGATTAGTTTAGCAACAGGAGGTTGAATAAATGTATTTTGGTTTATGTTTCTAATAAAAAGTAATTTTGATTTAAATTAGCACTATCTTTTTTTTTAGGCCTCCATTCCTTTGAAGGAATTGGAGCAGTTTAACTCAGATATACAAAAATTGCTTGAACCACTGGAGGCTGAAATTCAGCAGGGGGTGAATCTGAAAGAGGAAGACTTCAATAAAGATATGGTAAATTGGTTGTGATAAAAGTGTGAATGAACTAGGAGTGGAAATAAATATTTGGAAAGAAATTATATAACCCAAGTCTCCAACTGAATTTTCAGAAAACATCTTACACATTTTATGATTCTAATGATTTTATAAATGCAGAGTATTCTTGTTGACCTTTTATTACGAATGCTGAGTTACTATGGTATGGTAATATAGGAGCACTTACGGTTTCTAATAAATAGCTCAGCAATTTTCTTTTGACCTGTCCTACTTTTGAACTTATCAAGGGCAAAATGTAATTGTAAAACAGGAGTCAAATCATAAAATAAACTAAACATTTAATAAAATACTCAACTATCATAGATGACTGACACTTTGTATCAGCAATGTTTTTGGTAGTATAACATTTTTTTCAATGAAGAGGGAATAATGCATAGTATGAACATTATTTATTACAATTTCACACAAAGTTGTTTTACCAAATAGTTGATTAGTTAGTATATGTCTAAAATTTGTATAAATTTATGCTGCTTATTTCATGGGAGTAAAGAAATATGATCATGTGGGCTATTCCCAGCCTCAGAATATTCTCCTTCAATCCCAACTAATTTCAAAATACCTACTATAATTCTCTCTGGCTTGAATATTTTTATATCACATCCTTATTAACTGACTTTTGTTTCTCTCTTCATCCTCCTTTTCACAGTTTTTCCCCTCTTCCACTGCCATCACCTCTGTGGCATTCTTAACCTTTACATTTATCAGTGCTAGAGCCTTCTCAGACAGTGCTTGAAAGTGACATCAGAAGGCAATATATAAATTTTAGGTAATAAGTATGAAGCAATAGGAGAACTATTTCCACCAATCTTAGTTCCCACTTCCTGGAGCTGCCTCAGTCAGTACTCCCTATGTATGGGGTTTGGTGACCTTGCCAACTTAGCTTGTGGAAAGAAAGAAGAGGCTTTCCAAGTTTCTGAGTTACAGCAATCTCTACTTCAGGTCAAAGAAGAAACCAGAGGGCACCAAGATGAAAAAAAGTACTGCTTACCTCTTGGGCTGACCACCAACTGCCCTAGAGCCCTCAGCTGGTATAGGGAAAGAAGTGAAGTGGGTTTTTAAATTTTTTTGTTTTTGTTTTTGTCCTCAGTCTTAGAAAATGCTACAGACTTTTACAGTACATTTTAAAATAAGTGAAGTCTTTCACAGACTTTAAGTATATAATGTGCCTATATGATGATAAATATATAATGTGTCTATATTATGCTGTACATTTCTTTAGATTATTGACCAGTCTCTGACAAAAATAATCCCATTTCCCCATACAAAATGAATAAGTCCTCAGTTGTGTGTTGAAGTTTGTGCATTATAGATTTAAATATATAATATGTAATTCCTTTAATTGTAATACACACACACAAATACGTATGAGTTTTGAAATTTATTATTTGTTTTCCTTATGTCATCAGTGTACCTTGAGTACCATTACATGGTGAGACAACTTGATATAAAGTTTTCACATTTTGAGTTGAAAGACAGAAAACTAAAGGTGAAAAATCACATGGCCATATATGTGACTGTATTAGACCAGCATTTATTCAAAACATTTTGTTTCGAAGTAAAGAAAATTAAGATATTGTTCTTGCAGTCTAAAGGAACAAAATACCCATTGAAAATGTTTAAAGCCATTTTCCAATCCGTATTTTAATGTTATTTGATCATATTTATTTAAAATTAACATGCATATATGAGATATTTTAGTAATTATTTTATGGTAATTTAACACATCATTTTTATTAATATCTTGATATTTCTCCTATTGGGCATGTAGGTTTCAGAAATGAAGCAGCAATTATTAGATAGGAATTAGTGTACATTTAAAACAAAATAGTTTCATGTAGTTGTGTGTTAATATTTTCAGATCTGTTATCTCAGTCACAAATACACATCTGTATTCTTTTATGGATCAGTTAACATTATAAAAACATTAGCTCATTTCTCTAATTTTTTAATTTCTAGAACTACACTAAAAAAGCCAAAAGAATACTTTCACAGTAATTCATGACTTGTCTGACATGATGAAGTACCACACTCCCCCATCTTTCTACAGGTGCCCCTAAAAATGTGTTCTTTACAACTAGATGGGAGGAAACTAATTTTAAAACCTAAAGTACAAAATGTAAAAGAAAGGCTATGAGCACAGTATCTTATAACATTCCATGAAAGTTTTAAATTGGATTTTTTTGTGTGTGTTTAAATAACATGTCTTATTATCTCTGTTAACAATGTACAGCTTTTTAAAAACCAAAATGAAGACTGTACTTGTTGTTTTTAATCAGAATGAAGACAATGAGGGTACTGTAAAAGAATTGTTGCAAAGAGGAGACAACTTACAACAAAGAATCACAGATGAGAGAAAGCGAGAGGAAATAAAGATAAAACAGCAGCTGTTACAGACAAAACATAATGCTCTCAAGGTATTAGAGCTAAAATTATAATATACCTTGCCTGTGATTTTTTTTAATATATAGGGTAAAATATATTGTGCATTAATAAAATCTGCTTAAGACTCTTAGTCATCAGAAATTCACTTTTTCTGCTCAACGTGTGTGCTTTATTTAACATTTTTGAGTGGTGTTTGATTTTGAAAGATGTGTTGCTTAAAAATTATGACTTTTTAAAGACAGATTTTTCTAAGTAGTACTCGAAAGATGGAATTGCATTCATAGTACTTACACATTTAATCTTCTATTATGCTTTATTTTTATCAGTTACTTTATATTAAAAAAAAAAACCTGCCTAACTGCCAGAATAACCAATCTACATGTATCCATTATTCCTACTTTCTTTACTTAATTGATTTTATTTGCATTAGGTCCAATTTTTTGGTAACCTGATACTTGTTTAATAAGTCCTGGATTCTTTTCATTTATTTATTTTTAAAACTTTCTTATGCCGTTAAGAAAGTCACTCTTTGCAACTCACTATCTACAAAAGTCGAATTTCATTTATATAGGAATCCTCAAAAATAATCTTACTGCCTTTGAATAAGAACGGCTACTTTCATATTAAGCAGTGTAGTATATGACTTCAAGTTCCCACGTGACTCATCTGGATTGTGCAGGAAGAGCAGGATAAACTTAATTTTTCTATAACAATATCTAGGAAGTTCTAGAGAGTAGACAAGTAGAAAGTTTTGTGAAAGAACCTTTTTTTTTTTGTATATGCTTTGCAATAATCACTATTTGCATGCATGGCTGATTTTCTAATACTGTTCATTGCTGAGCTTTTCATTGTAAATCACTCTTTGGAGCTATGTAGTTATGAAGGTGGGTCCACCTAGTAGGTAGATGGAGTCTGCTTTCTACATGCAAATAAGAGAATAAAACCTTTCCCCCTATAGTCAACCAAATAAACACTGCTGAGAATGTAATTACACAATATTGTGCCTGCAAGGAATCCACAAGGAAAATCTAATTGGCCAGCAGGTGTTCTGAAGGTAACTGCTGATAAATATAGTAAACAGAAAAGGCCTCTTCCTCAAGGGAGTGCAAAAGCACACCGTAATGTGTCTAGAAAATCAGAACGCTATGTAACTCACACCCTTCCAACTGTGAGCAAGCTTTCAGAAGTATCTACACTGGTAGTACGATGGCATGTGTCCTACTGAATAGCAGTGTTTAATGGTTATCTGGCATTCCTCTAAAGAAATCTACATGACGTCTCTAAATATTTTACATATTATGCATCACTTTGTGCCTAGGAAATGCAAGATGTTTCAGATTTATGACCACCAAGCCCTTTCTCTTGGCAAAGATGTGAGTTATGTCACAAATAAGGCATGGCTCAACTCTAATTCACGTGGCTGTATCTTGTTACCTTTGAAAAAAGCAGCATTCGATCTGACTCCTCAGAAGGTTTGAAAATTCAACATAAAATGAAAAGTACAGCAAGTTTTAAATCCCCAATTTTAAACAAACTTGATAATGAAATATAGGTCATTCTTGCAAATATAGGCTATAAGTGATTAATCAAAGTCATCAACCCTACTTGCCAAACCAGTCTATACCAACATATTCAATAACTTTTTAAACCTGTCAAATGGTTCGAATTCTGGTCCTTACGAAATATTTTAGAGAAGGTCAACACTTTCCAACGCAATGAAATTTTTAGAAGTTTTCTGATATTTATGTTTTTTAGCTTGAATTAAACCTGTGAATAAAACCCTAATTGCTAATTTCTGTAGAAATGAAAGCTGCATGCAGAGCTTATGTTCCCATGAATTATAAAATGGCATTTGACTAATTCTATTAATCACAGAAGATATTGTGTGTGCTCGCAAAGAGCATGATGACTGATTTCCCCCCATTGTAGATTTATTAAATTAGTCTTATCACATGGATTTGAAAGCATGCACTTGCTGTTTTCTTTTTTCAAACAGTTAATTGTTTTGCATTTAGAGCATGATTTGGTACAGTAAGATAAATTTGGCTATGCAAGCCTTGGAAGGAGAAGCATTTGTCTAACATAATTTTTTGTTAGTTATGTTCACAAATATATGAACAATGGTGACACTTCTACACATACAGCTTGGAACAGTTTATAAGAGAGCTAAAATGGCTTTATATTTCTAATAATCAAATATTAATGGCCTATGAAATTCTTATGTAGGCACTTCTACAAACATGAATATATGTTGGTTGAGTACATAAAGTTCTGTTGATGAGTCCCAAGGCTAAAGATATACATTTTAGAATTTTACCTATTTTAAGTCAAATACAAACTCACTAGGTTTGTGAGTTTGTATCTAGTTAAGTCAATTGTATTCGTATGTTACACTCTTTCATATAAACTACACAACAATTAGCTCATTAAGAGTCAATTAAATGTGACAAGATTTTTAAGCAAGTTTGAACGTGGTAAGAGAATATACTTTAAGTGTGTTATTCAGGTTTCTTAGCTTCTTATACATGGGTCCTGCCTCATGAATACACAATTTAATTAAGTCTTTGTATATTTTGCATATAAATATGAAGTTAACCTAAGTTGTACAAAAAGATGACGGACACAAATTATTTTGATAAATAACTGCAGCCAGAAGTGCACTATACATATATATTGATATTTTAATAATGTCTGCACCATGAACAGGATTTGAGGTCTCAAAGAAGAAAAAAGGCTCTAGAAATTTCTCATCAGTGGTATCAGTACAAGAGGCAGGCTGATGATCTCCTGAAATGCTTGGATGACATTGAAAAAAAATTAGCCAGCCTACCTGAACCCAGAGATGAAAGGAAAATAAAGGTAATGTTGTTTTAGAATGTCAATACCAGATTTTATTATACAGTTTAACCTGTGAAGATCGTATTTAAAATGTTGATGTTCTTGTTTCTATTAATGGTCTCTTTGATTTGATGCATTTCTTTGTATTCTGTGTTGTTTTCAGTAAATGTATTAAGTGTTATTCAGTTGACATAATGTTGAATGAATAAAATGTTTTACTTTCAGACTATGTAAAATGATTTAAGAAATGTGATGTGTTTTCTGGTAAAATTGTAATTGACTTTGTGTATCTTTGTTCCAGATGAACTAATGACTTATCGGTATATGGACGACTTCTTACTCATGTTAGCACATTCATTTCATCAGAGCATCTTCTCACATCAGTGTTAAATCTCTATAGATTTATTTGCTTATTGTCTAAATATGTTTTTTCTGTTATTTTACACTTTTTATTTTGCTTCGTTCTTTGTTGAGTTCCTCAAACCTTTAAAAAGGAAATAAATGACTTATTCACTTACCCTCTAAATTATATTCTATATGGATGGTCCCTAATAAATAATGAGTTATCACTCCAAATTGATTCAAATCCCAAGACACCAGAGGAATTTAGAAGAAAGAAAATGTTAGACCAATTTAAATATTTACTTAATTAGAATGTCTAAAACCAAGCATTCAAAGGATAACAGAAATAATATTTGGATTATTGAACGAGGATGACAGTCATGCCTTTCATATTTGTAAATTTCAAAGGATGACAATAAAGGGACAACAGCCTTTAAAATTTCTGAGAGAAGTATTTGCTGCTTGCAAGTCGGTTGATATGGTTAGCTAATTGCCCTGGGCCCTGTATTGGTTTTGCTCAATAGGAAATTGATCGGGAATTGCAGAAGAAGAAAGAGGAGCTGAATGCAGTGCGTAGGCAAGCTGAGGGCTTGTCTGAGGATGGGGCCGCAATGGCAGTGGAGCCAACTCAGATCCAGCTCAGCAAGCGCTGGCGGGAAATTGAGAGCAAATTTGCTCAGTTTCGAAGACTCAACTTTGCACAAATTGTGAGTTGTTACTGGCAAACCTACGTATGTGTTTGCAACTACTACTCTATTAACAGAGGCCTACTAATAAAAAAGAGACAAAAAATCTGGGTGCAATTTTAAACTTCTAGTGTACATTCTGAAAGTGAGTAGTTTCCCTCACTTTGGGCTTCTGTAACACTAGTGCTTAATTTTACAGATTAAAGACACAAGAAGTTAACAGATAATAGGAAAAACCCCTTATCAAAAATGAAAATACATCTTAATTTTTTTTGCTACATCATTTTTCATAACATTGACAATGTTAATTTGTCAATTTATCATACATTCACTTTACTTCAGTGTCTAATCCAAAAAAATATGTATTGCTTTCCTGAGATCATCCCATGCTGATTTTACTTTCTTAATGTATACATGATAAATAATAAATATTTTGTGGTACTCCTTATGTCAACCTGCATAAGCCATTATCTCATTGACTTGAAGAATAATAATTTGGTCCTCACACCTGGTTTGACTACTTAATGGGCTACAGTGCTCATAAAAGAACTGGATGCCTAGTAAGATGGTTGGTAATTGATTGCAGATTGAACAATATCAGATAATGTTATTACTGAAATGTTCCCAGCCAAAACAAAAAGGAGTGACTGCTCTTCTCTTCTTTCAGACAACTGAATGGAATGTGTATGGTTCTCCCTTTAAAAAGGCAATTCAGAATTGTTAGCTTGGTCTCAGTTCTTTATTTGTAATAGGCTATAAACCATAGAGGTTTTCTGACAGGTATATTTTTGTTCCTATTATTAACTCTTGTAAGATGAAGAGGAATGATTGTCATCTGTAATTATACAAGAAAGTACTACTCCTCACAAAACCAGGAAGTCAAAGTCTGGAAACTAAGGCTTTATAGTTAAGTTAGGTGGAATTATATGAATCAAACAGATACTCAACCATTTTGCCCTATATAAATAACAACTGCATAGAGTTCAGCCCATGTATGAGACTTCTTGGGAACTTCTGTGATACTGTCAGTTCCATTTAATTTGGTGTATATTTTTAAAATGTCAAAGGCAATTACCATAACTTTATTTTATAAACATATAAGGGAAGTATGTTGCATATTATCGTGACTTCTTTTTATACTTCAAGAAAATTCATAAATACACTGTTTTCTGTTAAATCTAATACCCTAAAGTTGAATATCAGGTGAATATTCTGGGCAATTGGAAGAATACAAGGAATATTGAAACTGTATTGCATGTGAAGTCTAATTCCACGTGGCTGAATGTTTCAGCCTATTATCCTTCATATTAGATGTTATGAACGTAATGTATCATACATAACCTTGTACTAATCAGCAAGCTTGTGTCTGTAGATGCAGTATGAAGCGAAAGATTGAGGCAATCAAAAAGAAAATTCTAGTAAAATAGTTTCACCTCAATTTAATAGATCATTCAAGAGGAAGTCTTTGCTTTGGATTATCTGACTACTAACTCAATTCTCCATTCCAGTTTTCCCCATGTCTTGACACACCCAATATGCAGGTTTAAAATTCGTTGCAAACTAATCAAGTTACCAATGCTTTATAGCTAAATAGGCACAAGATCAAAAATCTCCCTAAACCGCTTACTTCAAATGCCATTATGTCCCTATTCATAGTAGACTCTCAACAAATATTTGTACAACGTAATAATGATTGGTGAAATAAAGGAAGCATATGTGAACCAGTATATATTTTTAAAAAATTATAGTAAAATTATAGGATGTATTTTCCTCATAAACGATTTCTTCTTAAATTTTATACATTAAAGATACAAAATTCAGAATGTGAAGGGGGCTATTTTTGTGTTAATTCTTAGTTATCCATGATAATAAAGTGATCACAATATGTATGAAGAATAATCAATTTAATATCACAGTTATATTTGGCATTGGATTTTAATTAGAACTGAAGGATAATTGATAGATGACAAATAGGTATATAGGTTGGTAGGTAGATAGACAGGTGGATGTAGAAGTATTCAAGATGTATCTTTGTACTTTACCAATTGTCAATGCATTTTGAAACTAATTTCACTGTGGCCACTGATTAGAGTTATCTCTCTCAATTCTTATGCACTAGAGTCATTTGTGGTAGTCACAGTAAGCAGATTAATGAAAAGTAGTATTTGATATAACCTTACAATGGCTCTGATGCAACATATGCCATAGCTTCAGAATTTCTTACTTCCCCCTGTATTCTCCTTCCCTAATTGTTTGATTTTTATTTTTCCTGAGTGTCCCTTTCTGTTTTCTTTTCTAGATATAAACTCTAGGCTTAAAGTTAATCTTTCATGTCTTTACAGCAACAATTTGAAATAGTAAGCGGTACTCCTAAAGTGCTTAGTATGTGAGAGCTGAGTGAGTTTAAAATTAAAAATTAATTTTCCTTATTTCACAGATACTCAGAGAACTGCTAAACACTGTAAAATTAAGGCATTTAGGAGACTCTGTCCATGTCAGAGCTCTATATGGTAGTAATAAAGCTCAGAAAAGGACTGAGACTTTGAGGGAACAATCATGAGGAGGCACCCAGCCACACAGGAATGCAGACCAAAGCATAGTAGAGGGTATCTGCAAATTATGGTCCTCAGGGCAAACCTGAAGATAATAAAGAAGAGGCAGGAGACTGGGAGGAAGCAGGTAAAAATTTTTACCAGATATTCACAATGAGAAAACTTCTGCCTTAGTTAGTAATTCCAAACATTTCTAAAGTATTTCCTGTTGGTTTAGAAACTAGGTACCTCAGTTAAGACCAAACACAGAGTGTAAACTGAGGAAAAGAGATATTCCTATATGATGTATTATCACAGCAGTATGGTCTAGTAAAATTAATTCTTGGATAAACAGTCTTGAATATGAATCCCAGTGACTTTGAGTGCTGTATGATCATGGATAAATCATTTTGAGTCTCATTTACTTCATCTGTACAATGGAGATAAGGATGTTTGTGAGGATTAAATAAGGTAGTATTTGTCCAAACACCTGCTGCGTTGTGTAGGTTCAATGCATCAGTTTTCTTCTTCTCCTTTCTGTATATACATTAACATTGGAAAATAGACATAATCTTTGATTTTTTAAATATTTTCATAAGTCATTAAGAGAATTAAGTATGTGCTGTTTAACATATTAGCAACAGATATTTTGTTCAGTGAAAATTTCAAATTTGATTCCATAATATATAAGCAGATACTTTTCTCTAGATTCACAGAATAAACACAGGAAATATCACACAAATCTGATGACTGCCAAGAAAGGGCATGATTTTCCATAAACTGCCCCACTGACCTCTATCTGGATTCTTCTACCTAAAGGAACTAGAAACTCCACAGTAGACAATTGTTTCTACTTTTTTATGCTTCATTGTAGCATTTGGAAAATAACCTCAGAGAGCCCAGGCATTTGCAACCACAAAATTGTATAATGAAGATACTACTACAACCCCCAAGGCTCATGTGAAACTCCTAAGCAAGATAAGCTTACAAACTAAAATTATTATTATGGAAAAAAATTATAAGCAATGTTATCAGATGCCAAACATTAAAAGGAGAATGTATACCTGAAGAAAATAGAGATAAGAGGATAATCACCAAAGGATATTCAGTAATATTTAATGTTCAAAAATAAAAATTAAATGGATTTTTTTCCAATAAGAATAGGCCATTATATAAAGTGAAGAGGAACATTTGAAAAAGTCTAGAAATGAAAATATAATTAATTGCTCAAACATCTGCATGAAAGAAGTTTCAAGTTGAAAAAATGAGGATTATGGGGAAGAGACAATATTTCATATTAATGATATTTAATAAAATGGAATAGATGTAAACTTAAATGAATCCTCAAATTCAATAAAGGTCAACCAATGTGGAAAAAATAAAAACAAGTCTACCAACTAGCTCTGAATGAAACTCAGAGGATCAATAACTAAAAAGGTATCATAAAAGTTACTAAAGACAAAAGAACATTTACAGGATGACAATATTCACTGCAGACTTCTCATCACCAATAAACATTAGAAGATAGTGGAATATTATCTTCAAAATGCTAGGCACATTTTCAAATACCAGGGGAAATATGATTCAAGAATTAAGGCAAAATATTTCCAGACATACAACTAGTTTCACCTAAACAAAAACTAAGAATGTCTTACCTATAGATTTTTGCTAAAATAATTCCTAAACAATATACTTGTGTAAAATAAAGTGAAACTAGAAGGAGACAGCTATGTAAAGCTGTGTAAAATTGTTTTCTCTATGTAAATAAGAACATTTACAAAAAAAGCTTATAATCCTAAAATTTGGTCAACGCCACCAAGGAAAACCCAGAATACTAGGAGAATGCAGTATTTAACTGATCCTATGTAAAGAGAGATAAAACAAAAGACTTATTACATATCCTATGTATTACATATCCTATGTATTATATATCCTATGTATTATATATCCTTAATACATATGCTATGCATTACATATCCTATGTAAAGGGAGATGAAGCAAATATAAGACTTATTCTACATAATGTCAACAAATATAAGGGTTGTGCATAATGTGTTCAATATCAATTATTACCAATTATAATGTTTCTAGATAGCAAAAAAGTGCTAAACCTCTGAAATATGCATACGTGCATGACCTTTCCAAGAAGAAGAGCAAAAAATACAAAAAAAAAATCCACCTCAATGAAGAAAAAGAAATGTCCATCTTCTAAATACATTTCCACTTGAGCTGAACATGTTATGACATCAAATACTAAGTATATGATCTTGATGTTTAACATTTTATATCCAACAAGCTCTTATCTTGGATAACTAATGAGCATCTCAACCATGCAATAGCCAAGTGAAAAATAAATGAGCCACCCCCCATCTACATAAATTGGCACCTACCAACATCTCCAGACGTTATTAAATTGCACTATCATTTACCTAAGTCAGAAACCTAGACATCCTTCACGGTTCTTTTCTCTTACATTACCATGTAAATTGT